GGTGACTGGCAGACAACAAGTGTTTGGAAATCAAGGACACAATTAATGATGAATGTTATATTTCCTGCCACCATTTCACTGCTCTCGTTATATTTTGAACAGGAGACTAAAACAAATCGTCAAAGGAAAATAATTAAATTGACAATGAATTCTGCTAAATGCTGCCAATGTCCTCCCCTCTGTCTCCTGTTTCGTCTGGCACGTTGGCCAAAAAATACCTTTTTAAAAAAAAAAATAGGACCTACATAACACATCCTCCCTCTCTCAACCTCCCTCTTACAAAGATCTGCATCGGGATATTTGGGGCATATCCTATCCAAACACCTGTTGATATCCAAATGTTCATAATGTTTAGAAGATGGTGTGTTTCTCCTCCTGAACAGAAATGTGAGCTAGAATATTAGTACACATTCGAGCAGGTCTCCAGCTGAGGACTGGCTAGCTCCATGGTGATATGGCAAAAAGGCAGGCTTGTCTGTCTAGCATGGGAGGAGTCAAGGCAACAGATTAAAAGTACTTATGTTGTCAACTTTGCTAAATGGGGACAATGTGACCCTGTTAGTCCTGCACCCAAGAGCCTCAAATATGTCACAGCTATGGACGACTCAGCGCTTAACGCCCAGGAGGAGCTTATCTGCACCACTGTTAATTCTCTCCTGTCCTGAACACAATCCTAGCTGGATCTGCTTCCAAGTTCACAGATATTTGGGAAAATGTCCGTTAAACCCTTCATTTATTTTGTTCCTCTAATTAGTAATACCAGCACTACATAATGGGCTGATTTATGGTAAAGAGAGTTTTTGTATTGTAGCTACTGTTCAGCGGATTAGCTGAAGAGATGGTTTTGAGGGTCTAAGGACAGAGGGTGTCGTATTCAAACATTTTACGAACTGTAACGTAGGGCTGCTTGATTATGGCAAATCATAATCTCCATTATTTGGGTCAATAATTGATATCACGATTATTAAAAACGATTATCCATTTACTTTGAAACATCCATTTATTGAAAAAAAAATGGAACAGTATGTTTTTAACAGTTACCCTGAACTTTAAGTATAATTCAACTGAAAAACCTGTAAAAAAGAATAATTAATTGTTTTATTTCGATTATGTTGTTTTCATAATCGTTGCAATTAAATACAATGAATTGAGCAGCCCTACTGTAACGTCCCCCCGAGACAAATGTAAATGTGTTATATCGGGCTATATAAATAAACTTTGATTGCTTTTATGGTCAAACTGTATCACTTTTTTTGGTGTCTAATTGACTTCATGCAGTCATGGATGCACTATTGCGTGTCTGTTAATGAGTGTCACATAAGAAGGGTTTCCCCTTGAAAATGATTCAGTGATGATAATCATCAGCATGCCTGTTATGAGCCCCACCAAGGCTTTTAAGGGCACGATATGCCTTGTCAGTGACAAAGGGGCCATGCTGAAGATTTTATTTCAAACAAATGATGGATTCTTATGCCATGTCAAAGCTTTACTGATTTAAAAAAACAAAACAGTTTGTGTGGACCGCAGTTGTAGAATTATTTTAGGCTAGATTGATAAGATTATTTTAACAACTCACTAGAAGCTAGGCCATGGAGATAAATGCACCATATAAGCGAATAGCAATTAACAATAAACAATTAATAAAAACGGATACTGACAATTACTATTTTTATTTATGAATATTGTTGCTATGATTTATAAAAAGAGCATGTTGTAAATGTCACATTTCCCAATGGCAAGCTAATGGTGACTAAAACGGGTTCCTTTTTATTGTGGCATTATTATTGTTTCCCAGTATTCCATTTTTCTAATGGTGGCTTGACCACATGTCTATTTGTAGGGCTTAATGATGAGTCATTTCAGCATCGCATTTGAACAGCAATCACAATGGAAAGGATGCAATTTAAACTGCAAATTAGGCCAACTGGAACATTATGCAGCGTTGCAATGGTTTATATAAAGAATGACAACTTGCTCATGAATAATTTCAAAGACAAAAGGTCTAGTCCATCTGATAGGGAACCTTCTTGTGACTGGTTCTGCTCGCAATGAATGAAGAGAGAGCTGTTTTGCCTTTTTAGAGGAAAGTGCCTTACTTTAAATTGAAATAATTGTGTTGTTACAAGCTTTTATTTGGTAAATAGAATTGTTTACAAAAGAGGAATTGCTGTTGTAAATTCCCTTACTAGATATTCAGCCAATTGGCATTTTGTTGGATACTTCTGCTCAGGAGCTATGTTGCATTAACAGGTCCAGGCTCAGTCTGTGCAGTGCTGATCACATTTCAGCCTTGTGAGAACATCTCTAGAGCACTGGGCCTAATGGAAGTCACGTCTTCTTCTCCTCTCAGTGCACTCGACTCATGATCTAAATCTTTAATACGCATCCCCTGTCCTCTCCTTCTCTCTACTCCAGCCCTCTGCTCTGGCCCTTAACTCTGACATTTCATTGTAGGGCAACATTGTCTTCAGCTGCCATGATGCAGCCTCCCCTCTTACTGTGTCCCCTCAGAAGGCCTTCCTGCAGATACAATAGGTTGGATTGTCTCGTGTTTTCGAGACAGCGGGGGTCAGATCACAGCTGACATTGTCTGCAATGAAAGGCAGAACATATCCCATAATGCTGAACACAGTTGGATGTCATTTTGATGTTATGCTAAAGAATTATAGACGGTTATTGATACAGAATTAATTGAATTTTCCTATTATTTATCATTGAGAGAAGCCTCCTGCTGAAAGGGTTCTTTGGCTCATGAAGACATCCCAAGTGTTGTCTGATCAAATAATGTTTGGCAGTCATGCTTTATCCTCCTGATTTTGAAGTGCTTACTCTTCCGTGTTAGAGACAATTTACCGGATTTGATATTGATTTCACTGTTTTGTTATTATGGTTAATTTTGTGACAATCATCACATTTCGCATAATCTGATCTCACATATAGTATTTTGCAGAGCTATTCTAAGTTAATTACATCACAATATATATATATTAAGGTTAGACAGAAATAACCCCCAAAATGTGCTGTGTGGTGCTTACAGCTGCCGTAAACCTCTAGTCTTTGCTCACATCCACCAGCTGAAGATCATATTACACGGTGTGCTTTTCCTCTCGTGATGACTGTGCTTTGAATGCCCTCTAGATTTGGGCCAGGCTTTGATGAATCAGCCATCCCAATGATCTCTTGTCACTGCCTCATCTGTCATGGGCTTCATTACTGGGAACGTCATAGAGACTAAAGATTAGACAGGTGTTGTGTGTGCGTATGTATGTGCGTGCATGGGAGTGTGTGCGTCAGTTTGTGTATGTGCAGTGTGTCTTGTTGAACTGATGTTGAGAGGTACATCAGATACATCTGACTGTAAACTCTCCCCTGGCTAGCAGCTGACATGATCAAAACTGAATATTTACAAATCCTAACTCTCATTTATCTCTGTCAAACTTTTATTAATTTCTCTTACAGACCAGTAGAAATGTGCTTGCCCATTCTTTCGTTCCCCGTCTCCTTTTGTTTCTGGACCTTTATCTCATTGATTCTCTTTATTTTCTTGAGTAACTCTCAGTTCTCACATCAGTGCTCTTGAAGCAGCACTGATGTGGTGTCTTATTGTTAGTGAGCTTTCAGGGAGATGCCAGGTAGTTTTGATCGTGGAAAGATCTCAACTTGCCTATCAGTCAATACTGAGTACCAGTCGGATACCTGTGGGTTAAAACAAAATCCACAGTATGAATCAGGTAGCAAGTGGCAACTGTAGTTTTGATCTGTGTTGGGTTAAATAACTGATAGATGATATGATAACGGGATATCTCGTGCTGATACCCAATTTAGCATTTTAAGCTGTATCGGAAGCATTTCCAATATTCGTATCGGAAGTCTTGATAGGCTACAACTTTTCTAAGTGTATCAGAAGACTGTGAATTTTCAGGCAAAAAGATGCATGAGAAAGTGCCTCTGACATTTCAATACACCAGGGCTGAAAACTCTTAGATAAATGAGTGTTTTCTTTGTGTCTACGTAGCATAACTTATCTATTTCCAGTGAGCTGTTGAATGTTATTCAAGAGTGTTTGTGAAATACCATGCAGGTTCCTTATCTTACAGGCCTCGGCAGATCATTTTATTGTGACAAAGCTGTTTAGTCTGAGTCAGGCAGACGTTAGGAAACAGCAGCATTAGGTCATTGAGACTCTTTGTTTTTTTTATGTTTTAGTACCCTACCTTGCACCCAATTAGTACAAAATTGGAGTTTAAATGTACCCACGCCCCACCATTCCCACTGGCAAAACATTGCAATTAAGAAAGCACATACAGCCATGTTGATCCATCCACATTCTTTGGAAGTCATACACATTACCACAAAATGGGGTGTGGTGGTTTCTAGTAGCAAAGGCTATTTACAGTTGTTCACAGTGAGCTTTTAACTGTCACTGGTGTTTCTTTAGACACCTTTCCTTTTAATCCTACTTTAGAGGTAAAGCAACTATAGGCCATGCCTGTTTCTGACAAACCTGTTGAGGGAAGCCAACTGAAGTGTACTTTGTCATTGCTGCAGTTTTGACTATGAAGAGTCTACTCACACACTTTCTTATCACACCAGGGTGATGATTCATAAAGCGCCTTTCACTCGACTTGCATATTCTCCTCACTAATAATGATATGTATTGTATCAGTACAAGTATTAAACCAGGTCACCATGTTTTGAAAATATTAAGTATTAAATTCCATCCACGGTTTATATGACTCATTGACGACACATTAGTTCTTGGGAAATACAAAAGAAAAAGTCAGACTGCACCGACCACATTTTTATGGCTGCAACACTGTGATGACCTCAGCAGCTTTTTCATGTTGCTCTCTGCACCCTATATCCCAAGATGCCCATGGTTGAGTGGTTATGGTGCTTTCTCAGCATGTGCTGTCCATTCTCAACCTACAGACAAGAGGAGAATATGTTATTGTGACAAAAGTCCTGTATCTTTATGGTGTGTATTTGTGTCTCCACAGAGGGAATCCCTCAGGTGTACTACTTTGGTCCTTGCGGGAAATACAACGCCATGGTGCTGGAGCTGCTCGGGCCCAGTCTAGAGGACCTGTTCGACCTCTGTGACCGAACCTTCTCCCTCAAGACCGTCCTCATGATAGCCATACAGCTGGTAAGGCCCGGGGAGGAGGAGTGCTGCAGGTGTATAATTACATGAGCTAGCTTTTGTTATTTTAAGATCTACTGAAAATAAAGTGCCACTTTGGCTACTTTATATACATAGTCGAGGGAATGCTAGGGTATGCATTGTAGCATTGCTGTTTTGAATGCAAATGTGTATTTGATAGTCATTGAAAATATGTTGTACTATATTTGAATGTAATAGTGTAATAAAGCTCTGTATTCAGTATATGGATAATTGACATTTTTAATGACTAATCTTGACCTGCTTATTGGGTGTCTAGATTACGCGGATGGAGTACGTCCACACCAAGAGTCTGATATACAGAGACGTGAAGCCAGAGAACTTCCTGGTTGGGCGGCCTGGAAGCAAGAGGCAACACACCATCCACATCATCGACTTTGGTCTGGCCAAAGAGTACATAGACCCCGAGACCAAAAAACACATCCCCTACCGGGAGCACAAGAGTCTGACTGGGACGGCGCGCTACATGAGCATCAACACACACTTGGGAAAAGGTAAGAACATATCTGGAGCAGGGCTGTAGTTTGTTTCGCCCTTTAGATTTGCATTGACACGATTTGCTCACATTTGCATTTAGTTTAATGGAGTCCTAACAGTTATGTGTACGGATACATCAACCACATGCACTCAGCATTGTAAAAACAGAGCTCTTTAAAGGTGTGTTGTAATAATAATCCTAGATTTATTGGGCCATATTGCCCAGCCCTACATTTGGGTGACACAAAAATGTGAAAGAGTTATTGTTGTTTGTCTGCTCTGGGCTACTGTAGATACAAGTGCAACGCCTGAAGGGCGTCCAATTTCTATAAATGATGGGCTCATTTTATGATAATCAGTACATTGATCTAAGTTTCAGGAGATTATACATCATAGTGAAAAGTTAGTTAAGGATAATATATATATATATATTCTACTTCTGTGAAAAGATCTTCCTAAATCTTACTCACTCGACGTTAAAGTCTAACCAATCAGCTCAAGAGGTGATTTCCCTGATTAGTTCTTCCCCTCGTCTTGTAAGAGTGCTAATCAGTGAGAGGAAGCCTTCAAACCGGACGCGATGCGAATATTCGCTTCGCTCCTATCGCATCGCTCTAAACGCTCGAGTTTCACCGCGGCAGTCAGCTGTGTTTACTCGTGTCATTCAAACAAGACGCGCTGGCTCGGGGGCTACAACTACAACAAAATGAACATATTTTACCGTGATTTAATTGTAATACACGTTTCTAAATGATGCCGAAGTAACTACATACTGATACCGGTTAGTAAAAACCATGAATTAATGCTTTGACAAGTCTGCAGACAAGACGGCAGGCGAAAAGCTTTTAAAATGCTTGTTTTCTGAATGAAGATCGAGTCGACCAGGCTAAACTAACGTTGTATATGCTCCATCCACACTCATAACAACGGTCTATACAGACATAAATAAACCAGCGACTGTATTCGCCATGACATAGACAGTCTGTGGTTTGTACTTGTTTAACCTTTGTCTAGTTTCTGAACAGATATGAGGAGCTGTGAGCTCTGTGTGCTAACAGCTAACGGCTGATGTTTTCTGGTTGAGATCCTCACCGCTGATTGGCTACCGCGAGATCGAGTCACGCGAATATAATGCTCGAGTTGAAAAAATTGAACTTGAGCGTTTGTCGCGGCCCCCTTCAATCGCGGGGCGGAATTTGCGTCCAACCGCTTCATGCTTGCCGTCGGAGCTAATTCGCGTCTGTCCGCGTCTCTGCATTGACTTTACATGTAATCGCGCCGCCCCCAAACATCGCATCGCGT